TAGCTGGTGCAAACTGGTTACAAAATAACAATCCTTTTATTTCAAATTATTCAAGACTTTTCTCAAATCCCAATGATGCTCCTACATTTCCAACTACAATACATATTGCTGATGATGAAGATGCTCCATCATTTAGATCTGGTGATATAATAATTCCTAATTTAAATTTTCCAAATGAAGTCCATAATGAAGATGCACATTATACTAGATTAATGGCAGGATTTCATAGAAGTGATGAAACTGATTTGATTCCTAAATCACTAAATGATACAGATCTTGAAGCTTTATTATTTCCAGATTTATTTCAAATGGACATGGTCATTTTCGAGAAATAATTACTACCGTATCCTACCATGAATAAGCACCACTTTTTGAATAATATTTTTTACCCGGGGTCAAGGGTGGTACTTATTCTCGGTAGTTTTAAATAATATCTTTTTTGTGTCACTTGATCCATCAATAAAAAAAAAAACAGATCTATTTTTTTTTTTGATGCCCAAATTAATTCGTTCATCTTATAGTGCAGCAGAAAAGCTTACAATAATTGCAGATGCCAAGGCTCTTAGTTGCCGTGCAGCTGCTCGCAAACATGGTGTTGACCACTCAATGGTTTCACGTTGGATTAATAATGAAGAAAAAATAAAAAATGCACCTAAAAAGAATAAAAGCATAGGTTCTGGAAAAAAATCTCAATATCCCAAAGTTGAAAAAATATTAAAGCAATGGATATTGGAACATCGTCAGAATGCTGTTGCAGCAACTTGTGATATTATAAAAATGCACATGTTAACATTATTATCAAATGATTTTGCAGAAACTTATCCTGGTGCGGACAGTAAATTTCATGCTACTGATATGTGGCTTTTTCAATTTATGAAAAGAAATAATTTTGCTCTTCGACGTAAAACAAAAATTTCTCAAAAACTTCCAGAAGATCTTGCAGATAAGATCATTAGTTTTCAAAAATTTATTATAAATCATCGAAATTTATACAACTATAATCTTTCCCATATAGGAAACATGGACGAAACTCCAATATTTTTTGATATGGTACAAAATCAAACAATAGACACCCGTAGATCCAAAACTGTAAATGTACGTACAACCAGCAACGAAAAAAATCGATTTACATGTGTACTTACAATACTTGCTGATGGTACAAAATTGGCTCCCTTTGTAATATTTAAAGGACAATGCCTTCCAAAAAATCTTCCTGATGGTATCGTTGTAATAATGCATTCAAAAGGATGGATGGATGAAGCAGGAATGAATGTATGGTTTGAAAAAATATGGTCAAAAAGACCAGGTGGTTTAGCTTATAAAAAAGAGAGAGCATTGTTAGTATTATATAGTTTTGAAGGACATAAGACCGAAAATGTAAAAAAAAAAGCTAGAGAAGAAAATACTGATCTTTGTGTTATTCCTGGTGAACTTACTTCAACAGTTCAGCCGTTAGATGTATGTATCAATAAACCTTTTAAAGATAGACTTCGTAAGAAATGGGATAATTGGATGATACAGGGCAATTATAATTTTACAAAATTGGGAAATATAAAAAAACCTGGATACAATACTATGTGTGAGTGGATAATCGAGGCCTGGAATGATATTCCTTCTGAAATGGTTTCAAAATCTTTTAAAAAATGTGGTATTTCTAATGCAATGGATGGAACTGAGGATGATTTAATTTGGGAGGAAAATAATGAAAATAATAATAACGATGAATCAGCAGATGAAGATCCCGGAATTTTAGTTGATGAATCATGTGATGACTAAATATTTTCATATCGAATTTAATAAAAATTTATTGAAATAAAATAAAATAAAATTTTAAAATATAAAAAATAATATTATATATTATACAAATTATTTATACTATTTTTAAGTGGTGTTTATTTAACTTTTTTTATAGGTCGGAGAACAACTAGGGGAGTGGTGCTTATTCACGTGAGGTGCTTATTCACGTGAGGTACTTATTCACAGTAGGATATGGTAATATCCTTTTTAACATTATTAGCTTTCTTTTTAACTATATCTATATAAGTGTTTTGGTTTGGAGTAGTTTTTATTAGATTGGAATAATAATTTGGTTTATATTTTTTATACAAATTATCAAATTGTTTGATTTTTCTTTCTTATTAAAAACTAACTGTTTACAATATTTATTTACATTATATTCTTTTGCTTTATGTAAATCTGAACTATAAATGAAACAAAGAGATGTTATCATAGGAACCATCCTAATTGTGATTTTCTCCATTAATTTCATTGTACTGTACTAGTGTTTTTACATTTATTCTTTTGAATTAAATAAAATAATCACATAATTTTTTCTTTTGTATCCTTCTCTAGTTCCTAGAATATAAATTGTATAACCTTTGATATCTTTAACAATTTGTTTGATATCCAATGCTGTCATTTCTCTAGGTAACTGGATTAACTTTGTCACCTATTTATCTCTATTATTTAATTCTTCGTAATTAGTATCACCTGATGTAATTCTTAAATAATTCATTTCAATTCAAATCAATCATTCAGTTAATAATTTTTGAGCGTCCTTATTCTGGATCCCTAGTTCAGGGTGAAATTTATGAACCCCCAGAGTTCAGGCAAATTATTCTAGACCTCATCCTTTTTAGTAATAAAAATTTCCAAAATTAGAGACTAAGATTTGATTGGAAAATTTTATGAAATAATTATCATTTTTTTAAAGTCATTTTTTATTTTATACACAAACTTTATTTATAACCCTTCTATTAAATATTTATATATTTATTTACAATTACAATCGTATATTAAA